GGGGGGGTACTCACTATAATCACATGGTTTGTATTCACATGGTTTAAATCCTTCAAATTCAAAAACATGCAGTCTCTAAAATGTTCTTCAAAAAAAGGTCTGATTCTATATACGATTAAGGTGGATTACCCATCACACTCTGTGCCTCCCCATTGTCTCTCTCTGGAATAGGGTTACCCCCACTTCCCTCATTAATACTAAATCTTTTCACTGATCATTAGTTCTTGGGTTCTTGTGGCTTGCTTCCACCAACTAAATGTACTGTATATCAGTCAGATATGCTGTTTAGGAATTATTTAAATAGGAATTACAGCAGATGTTGTCATTTTGGTTGGGCTGGGGCATGGTTTGATCCTCTGTTGGTTAGACCTCGGCAATCCTGCATGGCTGTGACAGCCCAAAACATTTATCAACTGTTACTCAACCTCTGCAATGTTTTAAAATCTGCAATGTTTTCAAATCATACGAACAGAAATAACACATTTAGTTTTATGTCTTTTAAAGCAGTGTTTATAAAGAATAGACGGCCCGTTTTAGTCACTTTTTAAATCTGTATGTCCATTTATTTATCATCTTCTTAACACTTATGTGTACCACACCGGGGTGGCTGTAACCAAAACAAGCAACAAATCAAGTGTTTATACAACAGCCAACATTTTAAACGTCTAATCTTAAAATAAACATTGATTTTCTCATTTCTTTGAAGCTTCCTTGAGAGTTAAATAACATTCTGACCTTATTTATGGTGCTGTCACTGGTGGAATGCCTGGCACTTTATATCCCGATCATTTGAAAGGTTATGATGAACGGCAAGATTCTTTATGAGCTTTTCTGTGCCTTGCGCTTTCATTTGCATTTCAAATGTAATGTAACCAATAATAGGATATATTCTAAAGGTCACTCGGATGAACACCCTGATAAAGCACAAAATGAAAGTCTTACTGTCTGTGCGGTATTTGTTAGAGATTGAGTTTCTGATCACTCACTAACTGACATTCCGCTGATCAGATTAAAGCCTGCAGATAGAAAATGGCAGATTGCTCTATAAGTTTACAGTGCAAGGTTATGGGTGGGATATTACTGCACAGCAGCTAATGTTTAGCATCCATAAATTTCAGTCGCTGGTAGTTTATAAAATAAAAGTTATGTAAATGTCTAACTCCACAGTCTGTGGAAAAGCAAATGTATTATTGAAAGCTTGAAATTAATGTATAAAACCTGAAGGAAATGGAATTTAGCGATATTGCTACAGCAATCCATTTGATGCTTATTTTTATATTGTAATCTTCACTTCAGATATGACAGCTGATGAAACTAACACTTTACATTTTCTTTCTACTAGTTATTATTAATGACAAAGATATAAAAACAAACCCGAATGCCTGAACCTAGCAATTTGGGCATATGTTAGTAAAACTGTACATAATGCCGGCAACTACTTTGTGTATCCATGTGAATCAACATTGTTTTTTTTCAGAAAGAATTGGACCTTTATTTGGTGGTAAATGTAAATAGATATATTTTTTTTCTTTATTATTAAAGGATCAAAATGGCTCAAAAAAATTTAAAAAATCCTTGTATATTTTTCTGCAATAACCATGTACCCCACACCAAAGGATACCTCAAAATAAATTCTCATGATGTGCATGGGGAGACAACACGTGTACATCTGTTGTGGGTACCCATAGTAGGGCACAGAGATTATAGTGCACATTTTGCTTTTTTTTTTTTTGTACTCCTATCTAAAACACACTAACACTATTTTTTTAACCTATCCTACTTTGGGCCTGGTTCACACTGAACGTTTTGTAGCTTTTTCTGCCTTAAAAAAACGCTCCAAAAATATTCCCCCCAAATAATCCCATTCATTTCTATGGCTCTGTTCACATCTGAGTGTTTTGTCGCAAAAGGCAAAACGCGTGTTGCTGGAAAAAGTACATGAACTTTTTTTGGGGCATATTACAGCTCGTTTTGGCCCCATAGACTCAATAGGAAACGCTTGAAAACACGAGTTTGCTTTGTTTTTGCATGTTTTATGCGTGTTTACTCATTAACATCAATGAGCTACAATCTGCTCACAAAAACGAGTGATTTGATTTATGCAAATAAAATGTGCAAAAACGCTGTCGCCTAGGTGTGAACCCAGCCTTAAATACACTGACTGACCACAATGCTGACATTAACGCAATTTTGTTAATTGGGGGAGTGTTGGGGGAGGAAGCAAACTCTCAGCACAAAGACATGCTCCATATGCTTCACCACAGAAAAAAGCCCACCTCCGATATGTCCCATATATGTGTTAAGTATACACGATTAGGCCTGGTTCACACCTGGGCGTTTTACAGCGCGTTCCTACGCGCTGTAAAACGCTCAACATGTGAAAACCAATGATTGCCTATGGGCATGGTTCCCACCTGGGCGTTTTGCAGTGCGTAGGAACGCGCTGCAAAATGCCCTACGCCCGAAGAAGTACAGGAGCTTCTTTGGGGCGTATTTGCCACGCGTATCCATCAGGATACAGCCGGATAGCCCTCGGAAACGCGCGTATGTCGCACACTTTTTTTTTCGCACATTATTGAAAGTTTCGACTGGATTTTTTTTTTTTACTAACATTAATTTGAAAATCTATTTGTGTATACCTTACTTTACTCCATCACAAAAGGGTTCAGGTTATCATAATTAGTATCCCCCATGCAGTTATTGAACGTCCCAGCCCTGGAGCAAATTGCTCAACCTTATCTTTGCCTCATGTGTTCTCTGTTTTTTGTTGCTCCAAGTAGGTTTCTTCTTCCATCACTTGTCTGTCTAAATTTTGGCCTCCTTCAAATTCCTGCAGACTCTTTAACTGAATGTGATAGGATAGAATTCCTCTCTTTCAGACTACTCAAACTGAAGGAAAAGTAAACTTCTTTGAAAAGAAATGTTCATTTGAAAAGAGTTCTTAGCAAGACAAAGACAAGAGTGGGCCTATTGTGGCTACGGCTGTCATATAAGGCAGATGTAAACGGGTGTTATGCTCTCAGATCTTAATGCATTTGTACACGAGCCCTTCAAATGTACCTGTGTATTTACAGCAAGTGATGTTGCTGAAATGACCAATGCAGATAAGAGAGCTTCTGTTCTCTCTCCCTTTTTTTGATGTTGAAGATGTACAGATGGTAAGATGAAGCAACAGAACAGAAACCAGTGTAAACATTGTATATCAAAACTTATATTGCTACATAGGCCGACCAGATTATACAGAGTGTCTGTACCCTGTCAGTTTAACTTTCTTGCCCTCTAACCAGCATTGCTACGGTAGCACTAAATGAGAGGTGTGTGTTTATGTTGGAAGCAGTTATGTCAAACTGGCTGCAGTCAGGCAATACCAGTGTTTCCAATAGAAAACCTCTTCTTCTTTTTTTCTTGGGCACCCTCATGCTTATTGTGGGAATTAGGTAAGGTGGGTGACTATATGTAAATTCTTCGTTCTGCATTGTAGGAAGCTGCTATCCTTGTCCAGAAAATGTTGACGTGAAATGTAACTGTGGCAAAACTATGCTAACAGTTCCTTGTGGCAGAGAGCGCAGTACCAAACCACCACGCTGCAAGGAGGTGTGCAGGTATTTAAAGCTGTTTGCCATGATATAACATTTTTAATGTAATGCATTATTACTGCAAATGTAACTAACTATTTGCATTGTCTTCCTCTGTAAGCCACCCTTCTACCTGCCACCATGAGACTAGAGAAAAACACAAGTGCCATTTTGGTCCATGTCCAACATGCCGACAGATTTGTCAGAAAACCTTCAAGAAGTGCGGTCACCTCTGCCCTGTCGCTTGCCATGATGAAGCTCTAGTGAAACAGAAAGGATTGGTAAGGCATGTATGTGTAAAAATAACCTTAAACTGCATCTAGACTCTAAATAAGTGCCATGAAATCTGCTAGATTGCTGTGCATCATAAACTGCCATGGCCTTTTCCCATGAAATACATGTTTTCCTGTTTTTCAACCTTTGCTGCATCTCAATGCTGTTGATTTCCTGCAGCCTCTTTGCAGCCACTCCCTGCTTACATGCATGCATTCCAGCGATGGCTGCATGGTATATCTTAGAGCCAATATCCTCCTTTATATATTAATATGACTTGTATATCAATAAAGCTGCATTTTCTATATTTTATCTGTATCTTAAATGCCTGCTATGTTACAGAATGTGTAACAGTGTGTAAAGAGGAAGCTGCTAAACACTGAAACTCGACAATATACATTTAAGCAATAAGATACAAGACAAAATTACGTATTTATTTATTACATGTATTTATATAGCGCCAAGAATGTACGCAGCGCTTTACATAGTTGCATATTCACATCAGTCACTGGCCTCAAGGAGCTTACAATCTAAGGTCCCTATCTCACATGAAAACATAGGAGGGCCAATTTTAGACAGGAGCAAGATAACCTACCAGCATGTCTTTGTAGAGTGGAAGGAAACCGGAGTACTTGGAAAAAACTCACACAAATACAGGCAGAACATGCAAACTCATTGCAGATAATGACCTAGCTGGGATTTGAACCAGGGACCCCCCAGTGCTGCAAGGCAGCTTGGCTATGATTAAAGGATATGTGCACTAATCCTTTATGTGTCTTTAAGGTGATGTTACCGCTCCTTCTTTGTGCAGAGATAATTATTTACAAAATTCTGACAGGCCCAGCCTTGGTATTTTGTTTGCCCCTGCACACTACATCCCCATTGACTGATTTCTTTGGGACGTCTCCTGGCTGGCAGAGGGAGCAGTGATGAGGGCCAGTTCACACCACCTCCATTGGGTCCAAGCACGATTAGCTGCTGGAACACACTTGATCGCTTCCTGGGCCGCCTCCCTGCATTCTGGAGTGGGAGCGGGCGTGGCGGTGCATTCAAGTGCACTGCGAGGGGGCGTGGCTGCGGGGCCATTGATTTAAATACACAGCCATGCCCCTCCTGCCCCAGAAAGCAGGGGGGAGTTTAGTATGCAATACAGTGCGTTCCAGCAGCTAATCGCGCTGAAACGCACTGTAATTGGTTTGAACAAGCCCTAAAGGGTCCTAAAGGATAAGTGCACGTTATTGTTAAGTGCATTTATCCTTTAAAAGATCATCAATAAGTGCTGGTATGTCTGTTTCAACAATTAATGTATGATGACCTCAATACACAATCTTGCACAGAATTTGTTCTGGTTGAGGACCGACAGATGCTTGGGCACTGTCTAATTTTTCTGTGTGGAATGTATGTGTAACCCACTTCCAACCAATATAGAAAAACTGAACTTTTGACTTTACATATGAAGTATAATGGTAAAAAAAAGAAATCACAGAAGCATGGTTACATGATGTATAAAATATGATAATGTATGTAATTTAACTGCATGCTGAATGCTGTATATGGTTATTTATGTTTTTGGCAAGACATTTTGTATTATATTTATATTCAAACTAGCCAGATATACTCTTGAGAAACATTAACTGTTTCACTACCACAACAGTACTGTATAGTTATACTTGGGAAGCATTTAGAAACAACGGTCTCAAATTGCTGTGTAAAGGTGTCCATAGACATTAGCTGACCTTAACCAATCGGTGCTTTCTCCCATGAAACAAGCCAGTGCTTGAACAGTATGCTGCAATTCCAAAGGAGAATTTATCATATGAGCTGTTAAGTGCTGTAACTCAGCCAGGAGATACTGTATATTGGCATGATCATGCTTGCATGTTATAACTTTCTCTGTGTATGGTCAACTTACCTCTTGAATGGTTTGAGTGAATAATTTCTTAGACTGTCATTTTCTACCCATGTATATAAAGTGGAAGTCTAACAATCCATTTTTGTATAGAGTAGGGAAGGGTTATAACCTTCAAATCTAGTTCAAGAGTAAAGTCAACATAGAAAATCTGGGATTTTTGCCTGATATTTTAATGCCTGCCCTTGTGGGTCGGAAACGTACATAGAAGTCTATCTTTGGGTTTTCACTGGATGTCAAAATGCAAGGCAATCTTAAGGTGTTTCAACTTGTAATTTTGAAGCTGTACAGACTGTATTGTAGTGCAGGGCATTGGTAGATGTTCAAAAGCAGCAACTGAAACATGGGTGCTCATATACACTGAGTGGCCAGATTATTATGACACCCCATCTGTACTTTGTTGGGCCACGAGATGACTCCACGAGATGACTTTGTTGGGTGGCCTCGTGACTCCACGAGATGTTGAAAGGTGATGCGAGGAATCTGACACTGCACTGTCTCCCTTCTGTTGTCTTGTACCAGTCTTGCCACTCTCCGTCCTGCCCTAACATTGACTAGCCGCTGACGGCCACAATTCGCACGTTCAGACCCAGATTTACGGCTGACAGTCCAGTCTTTAAACACTTTAACAACAGCTGCTATTGAACATTTAACGAATTCTGCTGTTTTGCTGATACTCGCTCCATGGCTCCGAGCGCCAACAATCATCCCACGTTCAAAGGCTGTTAAATCGCGTTGTTTACCCATATCGTCAGCAAAAAATCACTTCTACTGTCGTGGTAAACAACCTACTTCCCTATTTGAAATGGTCTGGCCCTCTAGCAACTTCAGCGCGAATATATAGCTAATTTGCCTACAAACGTCAGGTGGTCATAATAATCTGGCCACTCAGTGTATGTCTTTTATAGAACTGCTTATGCTCAGGTACAGATCCAAGGTTGTGTATAGAGCTATAACAAAGGAGTTTTTGGTGTCAAATTTTCTTAGCAAGAATGTTTTGCTTAACAGCATACAGTATATTGTACATTATGAAGTGGTAGTTTTGGCACTGGAATCCATTTTAAATTACATTTCTCTCTGCTCCATCTGGTAAGCCTCAGCCAGCCGGTCCTTGGGAGCAGCCCTCTGAACCAGCTTTTATCCAGACAGCTTTACCATGTCCTCCTTGTCAAGTCCCAATACCAACGTGAGTATAATGCACAGCTTTATCGGTAAAATGTTTACTTTTGTAAATATATATGATGCACTCTGTCAGTGGTTATTGTTTATCTGAGTTCCCTTGTAATGTAGATTTTTAGCTATTGATTTTGCAAGTAGATCTGTTGGTCTTCTTCATCAGTGTTACATCGCTGTTTGTTCTGCATTGAAATTAATGCAATGTTGACACCCTGTGGACAAATAGCTTTAGATGGGCTTCCAGGGAATGATAGAGAGATTAAAGCCCAACTCCAGCTTAACCGTTTTAAGCATTTACCAAGTTTTTTTTACAAAGGTTTAAACAATATAAATAAAAACTTATCGTAAGCATTCCAGGAAGTATTTGAGTTTGTCCCAACCCTTGTAACTATTGCTTTGCTGGACAGCTTGATCTGCATGAACATGTGGAGAAAAATAAATAAAGGCATGTAAAATGTAAAATAGGAATTCATGTACTGAACAGTAGCGTTACAACTACGTATATCGAAACCCTTTTTATAACAAGATTAGGAAACTATTAGAACTTCTGTCAGGTTTTTTTTTTTTTTTTGTCGTCTGTGTACCAGCTAGTTTGATTCACCCTCTCTATTTGTCCTAGTGACCATTGTCACTGGGGACAGAATGTAATGGGAAACTATAATTTTACAGTTGACAATAAAATAGGAGATGATGGTAATTTTTTTCCAATGGGGACACCTGTTCAGGTAAGAACTGTTCAAGAGGGGAATTCTCTTCACTATACTGTATATAGAACTCCTCTCACTTCCAGTTGCATTTCTGGGACAAGATGTGAAAGAAAATCTCTCCACTGGCACACATTTTAATATCTCATATGTATAATATGTCTGTGATTTATAAGTTGTACAATATTTTGTAATTTTGTGCAAAGCAAATCACTTGACTTATTTCTAATGTGAGGCATATGTACAATTAGTAATACTTTGCCTTTAAACGCAGATTGTCTTATTAAAATGTCCTGTCCTTTTATAGTTTGTGTTATTGTCTGCATGCTAGTTATGTATTGATATACATTTGGGACTGGTCTGTAAAAGAAACAGGTTCTTGTTACCTTAATATCCTTTACATGTTTTTATTACTTCCTCTATGGAGGATATTTTATGATGATGAGATGTCTGGTCGTTGCTCTGTGGCTAGTGGAACCTGACTCTCCTTTAATGCTTCCAGATGTAGCCTGTGTACTGCTTTTGCTTCAATGGTCACTGACTACAGCAGAAGCCATTTTATTAAGAGCTTTGTGTCATCCTTGCATTAAAAAGCAAATTTAGGTTTAGACAATGTTATAGAATATTGATTTTGCTCATGCAGTTTTTTCAACCATTTAGTTCTCTGTAACTATTGCCTAGAAGCCAGGGACAAAAGAAGTTACACTTAAAACTAGTTAATATAATCCTGCCATGGAGCAGATACATGATATGACCTTTATTATTAGTCTTGATTGGCCAGAAAACCTTGCACTCCTAAAATCTAAGCTTCGCTTTCATATTGAGTCTTGACTTTGCCGGGTTTCATAGCTAACCCTTCTACCAACTTTGCAGTGGGTAAAACTTCACCATGAAGTCATGGAAAGTCATGCCCCAGTAAAAACATGCAACCTGGATCAGAGGGGTGCAAGAAAGAGACTTTTCTGACTAATGAAAATAATGCAGGTACCTTGTGGTGTTACAAAGGGAATCTGATTTATGTAGTATTACACTCTCAAAGTTATTTTCACTAATGAATCAGAAATATACAGTATGTAATAAATTTGCATTACTCGGCAAAGTATTTCTTTACGTTTTTTGCACAAGCACTTATAGTCATCATATTTCCAAAGAGTTGGCTCCTACTCTCTCAATGCCGCTTCCTGAACTTCTTGTCAAGTACAGGATCACAAGGGAGAGCACAGCCTCCAGAAGCTGTCCATCTACCAGTTGGAGAAGGGAGGTGATAGGGGCAGGGAAGTGTCTTGCCTTGCTGTGCCTGTGTATTTGTGGAAATACACAGCTTACTAGCACACATGCAAGAGTGACTCCAAAGGACCCTGCAAGGGCAATGAACCACCCTAAAACAGATCATTAGGGCCAGTGCCTAGGGGACTAGCTGATTCTGCAGGAAACGATATATTTCAAACATCCGGAAGCATCCATTTTTGTTTTAGAAGTACTTATTAAATTTCCAACTGTAGAAAATGTACATATAACATCAAGAAATACAGAAAGAAGAAACACACTCGCATCACAACAAACCAAAAAAGGGGAAAAACATGTGGCCATATTCTATTATTATTATTATTACATAAGTTCACATTTTGAAAGTAACTCCCATTACTTTTCTATTCCGTTGTGTACATCTACCAGGTTAACCTAATGTCAGGAAAAGAGATGATGATAATGGATAAAAAATTGTGATCTTTGTGCAAATGTTTGTATATATGGGACACTACTTAAGTGAATAAACAGGTGTATATAATGAACTATGTGTTTAAAAAGGAAAAATGTATGTGAATGTGTACCATTCCTCGTATATTAAATTCCAAAGTTGTAATTGTGTGTAAAGTAGAAAAACTTATAGTGATATGTGCAAAAAAAAAAATAATCAAATAACCTTGTGTATAAGACACCTCTCTCTTCACCCCTGGGAGGCAGTGTACAGTTTATCAAAAAACGTGTAAGGAAAAAAAAAGGGGGGGGCAGTATACTTCTTTTTTTTTTTTAAACAAGTGTTTTTGTGTATAAGGTGCTATATTAAAATTTCCTTTCCCTCTCTCACCCTCCCCTCCCTCTTTCTCTTCTCCTTTTTAATCCAATGGGTCGTCTCCATTTTAGATGATTTCATTAACATTAGAAATAGATTAACGTCCTTTTGACTTTTATATCATAAGGACCTGGCAAACAAAATATTAAAAGGTAAAAGTTATATTCTCTCACAAGTATAGCAAAAAAGGTTATTGTAAGGTGGGCTAAAATTAAACCAAAAAGCCCTTCACTAAGCGAGTAGGAAGCACAGTAGCTTATGTCTCCTTTCCATCACAACTCCCAAAACATATTGGCTTTTTGCTATCATTCATTGAGGGAAATCGCTCTTCCTATCAGAACACTAGGAGAAATGAACACTAGGCAAACGCAAAATTAAAATCATGCCACTTTTAAGTACATAACCTCTGTGCTAGTTCGCTGATTAGCCCTAGAGTTTCATACCGGATATAATAAAATCCTGGAAGTTCCTCTAGTTTTTACAGAAGCAGGACATTTCTGGGCTCATTACTTTATGCTTCATCCTGTGTTGATCCAGAGTTTCTGTGGACGTTTCATCATTTATTTGGTCAGGCCAATTATCTGCGGACTCGTAGTGAATAGGGAACAGGACCATGGAATCGTTTTTTAAATTTGCCTTATATGACAAAGAATATAGAAAGGTTTTGTTCCTTCTCTTTTCTTATAGTTGCTGTGTATTTTTACGTTTTAATTGTCTCATTATTCGTTTTTCTACCTATTTGGCCGTGTATCTGAATGTTATATTTTTAAAAATCCCACTGTTTCTTTGGGGCACTGAAATTAACTTAAGTGCATTTTTCACAAAATTGTTGGGTTTGATAAAGAGTTGCGCTAATATCGTGCAACATAAAAATCTGTAACTGCCACAATTTTGTTCTACAGGGTCTTGGCTTTCAGAAAATATATAATGTTTTGGGGGTTTGAAGTAATTTTCAGGCCTAAAATGTGGATTATAATGTGTGGAAAAAACGAAAAGAAAAAAAAAGGCCTTGGCAGCGAAAGGGTTAAATGTTCCTTTCGTTTTTGCTAACAAGGTTTCTGTTTTCAATCTCAAAAGAGGTCTGACAATTCCAAGTCTTTTTGGGCTCTCTAGGTGTCCTTGGCAATCAAGCTCCACCAAACCAGCAGAAAAGTCCAATTCTGCATGAAGGTCTGCCCTCACCTTTTCCACAGGTGGGGGTTGGGGGGTCTGATGGAATTTGCGGAGACATGTATCACGTACCTGGTAGGGAGACCGAATGTTTGAGGAGGCTTCTCTTGCACCTCGTGTCTTGTGGCCTTTGATGTTGGTGACAGAGGCCAGACAGACTCGTGCCGAGTGCTCAGGGAAATCCAGTAATCGAGGTCACAGCAAGCCGAGGTCATAAGCCAGGAGATCAGATGCGGTACAAAAGGGAGCAGGCAGAAGAATATCCAATAAACGGTCCGAGGTCAAAAAGGAAGGCAGCAAGCAGGGATGGTAGTCAAACAGGAACAGGTCAAAATCCAGGGAGTTCATGTGCATACGGGACAAGGCAAAACAGGATACAAAGAACACACTCAAGCTGAAAAGACAAACTAGCAACTAATGGGTGTGTGAACTGGGTTTAAATAAGGATGTGAGTCAATCACTCATGTCACTTCCTGTGCGCCCTTTGGCGCATCACCTCCTGTGCGCCCTTTGGTGCGTCTTTCCGTGAGAAGGGCATGCTCTGCGCATGCGTGCGCTCATCCTCCTTGGCGCATGCGCAGAACGGGTCTTTTGCTGACACATTGGAAGCTTAAATTTAACGCTATTACCTCATCTGCTTCACAGGATAGAACACAAAGGAGTTCCAGTTATTCTCGTCACTCCAGATTTGGTCTTGCAGCTTGTGATCTGATTGATCTGTTGGCAGACGATCCCTGGCTTCTTCCAGATCAGCCATCTGTTATCTCAGGGTCCATTCTTCCACCCTGCTTCTCGGTCACTGGTTTTAATGGCCTGGCTTTTGAAACACTATTCAGGGAGTTGCACGTGTTGTGCCTCCTGTTAGGTCTTCTCTCACTCTGTGGGACTTAAGCCTGGTTTTATCTGTTCTATGAAAACCTTCTTTTGAACCTATCCGAGACCTTTCTTCTTTTTAATATATTTATTTATCAACAAAAGTATCTTTGTCTTTGTTATCCAAAAAGGTGGCCATTACCTTGGCTAGAAGGGTTTCCAATTTGTCTCCCTTGTCTTGTAGAGAGCCCTATTTGGTTCTTCATAAGGTGTCAGGAACTAAGCCTGCCTGGCCTGGAACCTGGGTCTCCCACACACTGGACCATGACTTGTCAGGTTTGCCACATTTTGCTTCTGCGTTTGAATCTGTAATAGTTCTGCATACTAGAAGTCCTGCATACGTAGCTTGTCACTGAGCCCCACCTGCTCCTGATCTTGTGACGGATCAGAGTACTTGGCCTTCTATTTAAAGTCCGCCCTGTTTCCTGTTTCTTTGCCAGATTATTGTGCTCCACACATAATCCAGTCTGCTGCCTTGTGCTACCTCATTTACTACTGGGAATCGACTTTGGCTTGTGACCCCGACTGCAAAAACACTTCTCCTGCAATGACTTCAGCTTGTGACCCCGACTATGAAACTCTTCTCCTGCAACGACCTTAGCTTGTGACCCCGACACTGATTCCTGTCTGGCGATTCGAACTATTCCCTAAGAACTGTGCTTAGCCTGAGAGTTCCGGCCACTGGTCTCCACTCTCTACAGGTATTCTCCTAACGTAAGGACAAGGTTGATTTAAGACTGAAGGTTTCCTCTTTATCCATTCTGGTTTTAGCCTTTCATCTAAATGAAGACTAAATCTAAATTGTTTTACCTTCACTTTGTCCATCTCCTGTTCATCCTGAGGACATTTCTCTTCATTGTTTGGATGTTGTGAGGGTGATAAGAGTTCATCTGTAAGCCTCAGCTTCTTTTAGATGTTCAGACTGTTTATTTGTTCTTACAGAACGGCCTAGAAAAGGTCAGATTCTAGATCAACTATTTCAAAATGGATTTATCAGGTTGTCATTCAAGCTTAGGAGTTGCGGAATAGCGTTCCTCCTTTTTCCTGTTTCTTCTATTTGGGCAGTTAGTACTTCGTGGGTGTTTCAAAATCAAGCTCCTGTTACTCAAATTTGAAAGGCTGCAACTTGGTCTTCTGTTCACACTCTTGCAAAATGTTATTGTGTTTTAAAGTTGATATGTCTGGCTCCTTGGATGCTAGTTGTGGCAGAAAGGTTCTTCAGGCAGCTGTTCAAATGTATTTGTACAGTTCCTTTTGTTGTTGAACTGGTTCTTTTAGCTGTTATTGTGCCCGCCCCTATGTGTCCCTCAATGGACTCCCAGAAAAGGATTTAATGGTAAGAAGAAAATCCTATTTTGTTCCTCATTTTGCATAGTAGGTAGGTTTATTGGAAGGCTGTTTGGTTCCTTTTATCCCACTTTGCCATAGCCAGTCTTCTTTGTGGCACCCCAAGCCACAACAATGGAAACATCAGGCTGGATCTGAGCTGTAAACTGGTAGTTCTGTATGTACAGTTGGTGCCAGGAGCATAATTAAATTATTTGCTTGGATTCCTTCTACTGTAATAAAATATGGAATATATCCCTTATTTTTAGGATATGTGATGGGAGTAAAATCTGCAGATACTTTCTGTTTTAAGAAGGCTTTATTGTGCTTCTATCCTCAAACAGCTCAATTTGCCACACTGACTGTGCCAGAAAGTGAGGCCCTAATGTAATAATCTACAGTAGAGTGTTTTTGAACCAAGATGGACAAGAAAAGTAGAGAAGAAATATTGTTGTTTGGCCCGTACTAACCCTGTGAAAAATCCACTTCAGTATTTTACAAGCTTGACATGAAAAGTGCATATTGCTCATAGCAGTTAATCAGCTTTTTGTGCATATCAGAACAAACATCTGGTTACTGTGGGCAACACAGAAATTCAGTTGTAGTTGTAAAATACTTCATTTTGATGCATTCCTCTAAATATTTCAAATATAGGAAATAGGTGGTGCTCTTGAGAAATAAAATCTGACTTTTGCTAATCACAACGGTTATTTGTTAAGCTTGTCTCATTTTCTATATTATTATTTCATCCATTTATTTTTCTTCTTTTTTGTAAATATTTTTCCTTTCTTCTTTCCCAGGGAATGTCTTGGCAAACATGAGGTAAGGTTATTAAGCTACCAATAGACATCATAAGGTGGTCAGACATGCAAGCATAATCTTGATCTTTTGTAATGTCCATAAATGTCAAGCTTGGTTTACTTTGGTCTGAATCTTTATGTCCATGGGGAAATAAGACATCTCTAGCTTACCTGGGGTAGATGGCTATGTTAATCAGCAGTGAAAATTCAACCCCCTGATTTGATTCCTTCCTCAAGAACATTTGGCTATTGGGTTTCTGAGGAAGCTGCAGCATGTCCATATACATGCAATACATTTCAGAACCATCCATAACCAGATGAGTTGGGTAATAATCATCTCATGTGAACATCTGCTATGCCAAATAAAATATTGTCACTAACTGAGTACATTCATCAATTAACTACCAAATATCAGTTCTTTCAAAGCCCTCAGGTTCCTCTATAGCTGTAGTTATTATTATTTGTTTATGTTATCTGTGAAACATAATATCCTATACTTGCATGTACAATATATTTTGGTGCTTACTAGTCCTGTACACAGTTAATGAACTGTCAGTGTTTTTTAAAGATTCCGTCCCATCTAAAATCAATATTTCCGTTTTTGGTAGTTGTTGAAAAGTGAAACTACTCAACAACATTTTCAAGGGTTACCATTCATCTTGTTAGATTTTAAACATACATTCTGGAGAATAGCACTAGAGTTACAGTGAGCACCATTCCTCTTGTAACAGGAGATATTAAGCTGGGAAAAGAGGTAGAAACTATGAAAGGGGAAGTTTGTTGCTGGAGCTATCAGAAAATAAAAATCTTAAGAAAATCATGTTCTTTGGTGATACTCAGAAAAGCCTTTGTTTACCTTAAGATGTCGAAGGGAAATCAGCGATTACCTTGTGATGTCTAATAGAAAGCAGAAAATATACCGTAGTGCCTGCAGGCCTGAGTTGCTAGTTACTCTTAGGATACCAGAATAGTATGCTTATTTCCATCTTTCAGGAGCATCTGATGGTCACCTTGAATTTATTTCTATGATTTTAGAATGTGCATCAGTTGCAGATAGCCATTTACATCAGTTACAGTCTCCTGTGCCCACCAAGCCTACGGAAAGATTCCAATTGATATATCGGTACAGTTTGTAGAACTGTGGGAGAAAATCGAAGTATGTGGTAATACACAAACATAAATAAGTCATACAAATTCCACTGGGTAGGGACTCAATCCTGGGACTCTGAGCAACCAAGCAAAAGTGTTAATGGTTTAGCCCCATGTAGGATGATCATCCTGAATTTGTTCTTCTTTTAGATAAGCCCATTGCCATGTCATTCTGCTGGTCCATTTTCATGTAAGAGGCCCTGTGGACGTTTCCTTGCTTGTGGAAACCACAGTTGCTTAAGAGAATGTCATAAAGTGACTGAGTGTAATGGTAACAAAGAGAAGGTAAGAGCACTTTTTATATTGATAGAGTTATTCACGTTTATGATTTTGTTTGTGGTTTAAATACATCCAATTCACTTAAGCTAATTTAAAGAGACTGTCAGAGGCAAAACCTAAAGCTGCTGCAGGTATAAAATACAGTCACCTCCACCTTCTAAACCCTCCTTTCATGGTCAAATGCTCAGCGTTTCTTACAGGCAAAGCATCAACACTTTCTGATGATGTTAACGTTTGACTACCGCTCCTTTTTATTTCTATTGTTCATTGAGACTGATATAGGAATATAGGGATAGGGGCACGAGCTCAGGATTGTCAGAGCTCTGCCTATCAGCATCGTACCTGTCTGTGACAGTAGGGTTTGAGAGACTACTAAAGATGTGCAGACACCTCCAAGTTCATGCACTTTTTGATGTTCTGTTCTGCAGCAATTTTGGTTTTTATTCTGCTTGTCACAGTGTCTTTATATACCAAGTTAATCATTCTGTTATTGAAATTAACTCTATCCAACAAATTAGATGCATGTTTTTTTCTTTATCGTACCAATTTTAGTTTTCTAATTAAGCTTGATTGTTGAATGCTCAGTTTCTTCATCTAACTATTCACCTAGCTATTTCATGTTTGAAACTGAAGTTCTCTAGTCTTGCCTCTACAATGCTACATGCTATTGCATTTCCTTGACCTTGTTGCTAGGTGGGATAAAAGCTGTGGCCAGTCAAGGCAGTTGCAACAAGGTATGGGCTTCCAATAACATAGCAAATGGCATAGCAAGTATATTGCACATATCTACCAACTTGTGTACTGGATATATTAAAGTAGTAATAAAGGTTGAGTGTTTTTTACCTTTTAATGCATTCTGTGCATTAATGCAAACAACACGCAGCACTTTCCTAACACCCCGGTCCCCCCCACACTTACCTGCAGCCACTTGTCTACTCTGCTGTGACTGGGAAGATACTCTGGTTTCCATGAACTTCCTGGTTGCGGGGTAGGGTACTGAGGGCAGAGGAGATATATGCTCATTCTGTCATTAGTCAAGGTGTGACTGCAAGGGTAGGGGCATGGCCAGACGCTCTGTGTGTCTATGATGCGGGAACGGCTGTGACCGTGCACGTGCGGATGCCTCCATAACAGTCGGCTAGCTGATGGAGGCAGCCGTACAGGGAAGGGAAGGCTAGCGATCTTGATACCACTTGAGAACAAGGATATTAAAAGAATTAAACAATAAGGAACATTTTTGTATAATAAGTCTAGCCCCCATTAATAAAACAAAACAAAACCTGAAGGTTTAATTTCGTTTTAAGGGGGCTTAGGGAGCACGAATATGGATGAATTAATTTGTATATGGATTGTAACGGCAGTTTCATGGAAAAGGGTCACACACATGTACACATGTCCTTGTAGCATGCTTGTCATTTTCTGTAGGGTAATGTACACTGAGAATTGTATGCAGTCCTTTTGGTAATGTCGGGAGCCCCTCTTAAGGCTCTCTATATATAGTAAGTTGCCAACGGCTGGCCTTGAGTCATGCTCAGACAGACTAAATTAAGGGTAATAGAGGGAAAAACACAGTTCTTAGATCAGCCTTCATCTTTTTTAATACATTAAGACTGAATATTCAGATTCTTGCATTAGGCCAAGCAAGACTTCCTCTCTTTAGATATTACTCCTTTTGATTTGCCTTCTAGTCTGGTCCAGAATGTTTTGTGTGTGAAGAAGCATGCTCAAAACGTCGACCACAAGGCTGTCCTCATCGTTGCAATCTCCCATGTCACCTCGAAGATTGCCCTCCATGTGTTCAGATGTTCAGGACCAAATGCCACTGCAAGATTAGTAATCTTTACATCGAGTGCATGTACGTATAAAACTCATCTCTTGCAAATTTTTACATCGAGTGCATGAATGTATGTAGAAACTCCCTTGCACATTTAATTAGGTTATTATAAAACAAATAAGTCATCTTGAATGCATAGCGACATTTAAGACCAACTTTATTTTTTTTCAATATTGTTAGAATAAGAGTGAAGTAAATGGTGTAGCAGATTATAACAACCTTTGAGTTACTACACTTTGCACATTGTCTACTAATTTCCTTATGTGCAATGTGCACATTCACTTCACAGTGCACTTCCTTCAGAAGAATTTGACATCTTGTGTTATGGGCAAGCAGGCTTGAGCAACCTATTATTGGACCAAAGCACTGTCTTATGGCGCATTGGGGCATGTTTAAGCCTACGCAAATAATAACTTAAGAAAAGTTGGTATTTGCATATGTTCTTCTGGGGGCACTGTGAAGAGAATGGCTAGAAGCCTTAGTAGATTCTAGGCCCCTTTAATTTAGGTCTGCTTAGGCAGTAGGGAGGTAGGGTTGGTAAATGGCATTAAATGTACCCATCAGCTGCGATAAGCTTAACCTACAGCTCTCTGTGTTGGACCATATGACCAACATCCACCAACAGTGAAGACTCTGTCCATAGTGTAGAACTATTGCAGGCTGCAAACCCTTCCCCCCAACTTGTTGAACATAGGCCACACAACCTGAAATAAAATTTGCTCATTACAGCTGAAAGTAAAGTGTATGGTGGCTTTAATACCCCTACCTTCCTAATGCTGGTCTAATTGATTAAAGAGGCCCCATCTAACAGGTCCATGTCCACTAAGTAGAATTGAGGCCAAACTGTTTTTTTTTTTTTTTTTTTTTTTTTTATTTAGAACAAAGATAATGGTTAAGACCTCTGTCATTTTTACATGTGTGTCCCACTTGGTAATTTTCCCTTGTGTCTAGACACAAGGAAAGTGAAGGAATTCTCTCCAAAGTGAAAGAATTCCATCTTTGTGAGTTGTCAAGGACAAGTGTCTCCTTATCTGGAAGATTTTCCCTCTTTTGCTGTTCTGTTGGAAACTCACACTTTTAGGCCAAAAGACAGTGGTCATAAGAGCAAATGGAGAGAAGAAATGGGTCCCCACACAAGGGGACCCAGACAGTAGTGAGAGCCTGGCAGGTGTTCTAACTCCTTACCACTCTACCCCCCCCAAAAAAAATCAACTACAATATAGCCAGTTCTTTTTTAAATGTGGTTCACAAGCAGTTTTTTAGAAAAGTATATTTCCAAGGAAAAAGAAAGCATCCCCACCACTCAAATGTTAATCATATGGTGTTTTGAGGAAAGATTCATATCATCCTTTGGTACTCAGCCCAGTCATTTGCTGGATCCCAAGATCTAAGCATCTACGGAAAATTCCGCCAGCGTACAGCTGGTTATATGAGGGTGATTTGTTCAGAGGAATTTCCAGAGCTGCATTAACTGTTGGATATACTTTTGATTGGCAGTTACTCATTCAAACAATCAATTTGGATGTTTTTTTGTTTGTTTTTTGTTTTAGAAAACTTACTTTGGCTAAAGAAAAGGAAAAGAATATCCTGACTTCGTGCAAAAATCAGTGTCCAAAAGAGGTAAGAATGGGCTTCGAGTCCTGAAGACTTGCCATGTTTAACTTTCCGATTAATTGTGAAAGAGCCTGTAAACCTAGACACATTTTATCCCACAGGCAAAGAATCACATAACCTTTGAGTAGTAGGATCGTTTTATTCAATCCTTGTTGAACATTTTCCAGTTGTATAATACTTACAATACTTTGCATCTTTCTTATACCTTCTTTAAAGTGTACCTGTTTACAAGTTATCATTGAAGCAACCAAATTTTTGCTATAGAACAATGGAGCACAGCTTGTGGATCAGGATCCTAATTGGGATCTCATCATATATGTGTATGATCTTAAGATAATAATAACATATGACACGTTGTCTATTTGAATCTATTTGGAATTCTTTTTTGTGTTTTAAGAATAAGGGAAAACTATCGAATGTGGCCCCAACAGAGCAATGGCGGTTAACTCAGTTGATATAGTGTGTGCCCCCCCCGATATCACCAAATGCTGCACATAATATTCAGTTAATGTAATGCACAGAAAGCTGCCATAAACTTCACACATGCAGAAGGAGATGGTCAGAGACTGCAGACATGCCACAGGAGATGGAGACTTCAGACATGCTTTAGCCATGGTTCACACCTAGGCGTTTTTAAGCAGTTTGAAAAGCGCTTTTAACTGCCCAACACAAGAAATCCCATGATTTTCAATGGCTCGGTTCACACCTGAGCAGAAAAACGCCTAGCACGAAAACGCCAGACACCTGAAAAGATACAGGAGCTGCTTTGGGCAGTTAAAAGCTCTTTTCCTCCCTATAGACTTCATTGGAAATGCTCAAAAACGCGCAACAGAAGCATGTTGCACATTTACGTGAGCGGTTTTGTGCGTTTATATGTGCGTTCTTCCATTGTCCACAATAGTTTATGAGCTACCAATCAAAAAGCGTTAAAACGCACATACAAATGTGCACAACGCGCAAATAACCGCATGCTGCTAACGCTTGTAGAAAGGGGCAAAAACGGTGCCGCTTAGGTGTGAACCAGGGTTTATCAGAGATATCGGAGACTTAAGACATGCTTCAGGAGACTCATTACAAGATCCTGTATAGAGATCACTGGTATTACAGCACCTTTCTAATCAGTGCTCCCAACAGCCCTCTTAAAAAAAATACATGAGCCAGATTTGTCATATCTCATTGCTAGGTCCATTATGAAAGAACAGAGGAAAAAAAACAAAACATAACTAGTGGGAAGGCGTAGACAGCACAGAATAATATGAAAAAAATAAACCGAATCGTTTACCTACTAGAAGCCAGTCTAAAAGGTTTTTCTTAACTAACTTGGCCACCAAAACACAGCCGCTCTTAGGCACACACAATAAGTACCTAAAGGGCTGCATGCCCTGGTTGGGCGTCAGGGAACTAGAGCTACATTACATGCTGTTAGTTGGACTTGGACTTGTAGAATTGCTAAAATGATTTAATATCCATTTTGTGTATGCTGATGAAGTAATTAAGATACCACTGTTTTTCTTTTCTTTTTTTAAAGAAATGGACTTAATTGTGTGTTGTTGTTTTTTTTTCTTTGTTTTTAAAAAAAAAAGAACTTACCCAATAGTTCAGCTCATTTAAACCAATGCATTTTGGTGCTGAGCTGGAAGAATCTTGCTTAACATTTTCTGCAGTTATATGATGTCTCGCCTTCCTGCTTTGCTCTAGCTGTTTTCAGGAAATCGATGTAAAAAAAACAAAACATACTTTGTGCCATTGGATTAGTATAAAGCAGACCTCATGTTAATACATTAGAAAGGATTAAGAACACTGTCAGGCAATTATACAGCCATTATCTCTGCTTCTTCAGCTTCAGCTGACATATTGGGATCTGTAGATTCAGATAACATTGTAAAGTTTAGTGAAGGACAATATAAGCTGTCAGAGACAGTTTTTTATCAGGCAATGAGGCAGAAAATCTTTTTAGTCTTTAACTATGACAGCACAGAGATTCTAAACTTGAGCCTAAATAACTCCTGCTTGAGAGTTTTTTAAAATTAAAATAATAAAATAAAAATTATTTATATATATATATATATAATTCACCTGTATATATATGTCTAAATAATGCTACTGAAACACAATTCCTGCTGCTTTTATGTAGAAACAAAATTAAGGTTTTGACCTTCACTTCTTCATGTATAGGGAAGTGGCCATGTTAATTTTCATAAATGTAAATGTATGCACTTGGGGGCTACTTGCTGCCCTCAAGTATTATAGAATTGTATTATCGAAAACAACTATAGTACGTATTCCTATGACAATGCTGATGTTATTCCAGGTTAGTATATACTGTGTTTTAGAACTCTTCAATAACAGTATGCAATGGTGATCTGCAGCTTGCAGGGCAAGTGAGATATTTTCTTATTTAAAGAGAGCTATAACCTCACTGCTATACAAATTGAAACAAATAAATAAATTATAAAGGAACATGGAGGACCTTGGTTATGAGAAAAGATTGTGTTTCTTTCTCATCCATTGAGGGACACAGGAAGTCATATACTGTTAAACTGCCACCTACAGCATTTGGCAAACAAAAAATCTGTAGGGCAGCCCAGGATAACCCCTCCTCTGTTCAGCATGCCTCAGTTTTCTGCTAGTGTCCTTGGAGGACGGAAGCCTTTTCTTCAGTCAAGATTCCTCACTACTTGAGTTGGTCTCTATATGGCGGCCTTTTTGATTGACCTTTCCTCGGCCTAGCTTTGGGGTGCCATACCTGGACCACGCCGGAATGGACATTGTGGGGCCAGCCTAGAAGTGACCTTCAGGCACTAGGTTCCACGTTGTACGCTTTCCGGAACCAATTCTGGTAGATAGTTAGCCACGGAGCACTTTCCAAGTCCAGAGTTGTCTAGCATTGCCGCAGCACTTGCCCTGTGTCCGAAGACTCAGGCTAAGCATTCCGAGATAGCTTGCGGTTTGCAGCACCAGACACCTTTTGAATTTTCTGATACCACCTGTTTTACCGCTGCTCTCTTTCTCACTAATCAGCATTGAGAAAACATAATTTCATAGCTGCTCCTGCTTTGTTATAGAGACACATGGAACTTCAATCTTCGGTCCCTTCCTCCTGCCTATCTACAGTTACCTTTGTTACCCCCTGCCTTTAGACCCTAATCAGCCACTAGTTGACTGGGTTTGTGACTACCTCATACCCTGAGCATAGTTTCAACATTGCCATATGGTCACAATGTGTCTGTATTTAGACACAAAGGGAATGGTCCCGCTGCAACGGGTGACCCCAGCTAAAACTCTGAGGGCATTAATATCTGCAGTCTGGTTATAGGGTCTACCTTATATAAGTCTTCTTTAGCTCTGGCGGGTGAGATGGAAGTCCCCTGCCTTGTCGTCCGAGGTCTGTAACTTTGTGCTCAAACTCACGCAGTTACTCAGAAATCCTGAGCGCACAGTCTCTAAGCTTGTTCCTGCGCCTTCCCCTGCAGAGTCCATCTCTAATCTCCCTGCGGCCCTGGTGGCAGTGACCATCTCAGACTTAGAACCCTCACAGTCTCTTTCTGGTGAGATTGTTTTTGAGGAATAGCAGTCTTCTGCTTTTACTGTGGACATGTAAGAGACTGTTTTGGCTTTTATTGATGCAGTACGTACTACCTTCATCTGGGTGATTAGCCTACTGTCTCCGGCGTACTGTCTTTAACCACTTGATGACCGAGGGGGTTTACACTCACTTCCTGTCCAGGCCATTTTTCAGTATTCAGCGCAGCGTTACATTGACTGACATTTATTCAGTCATACAACGCTGTACTGAAATTAATTTTATACCATTTTTTTGTGGACAGATAGAGATTTATTTTGGTGTTATTGAATCACCACTGGGGTTTTTAGTTTTTACTATATAACGACAAAACTACTGAAATTTTTAAGAAAAAAAAAACTGTCCTCCCTTATTATGAAACATTTATTATTACCCAATTTTCTGGTAAAATATAAAAGATGGGGTCATGTCAGGTAAATAGACACCAAACACATCAAACCTTAAAATCGCAGAAAAACTACCATACCCAAAATTGGGCATAGGCGACATATTAAAAGCTTTTACTGTTCATCAATTTAGTGTTATAAGTGATTGATGACCCTTGAATTATAGCTCACGCTCCGACACTCGCGGTGATATGTAACATGTGCGGCGTAATGGGCACAATCTTCATTTTGACACACAGGCGCACCCGACGCATGTTTGCGTGTGTATGTGGTGGCGGAGGACTTTAAAAATATTTTTCAATGCTTGCTCATGTCTCCATGTTTTATCTCTTTAACCCTTTTAGTTTAGCTAAACTACAAAAACCTGCAGCATGAGAAACTTACGTAAAGGGGCATATGCAACATGCATTCTGCTTGCATTTGAGATCTTTTCTCCACAAGTTCCTTTAAAAGATGCTTTTTGTTCTGCTTGTGACCCCCTTTTAAGCTTTATAAACCTGCTTCATGCTACTTTTGCATTCCTTTGGACTTCTGAGAGGAGAAGGCAGAAATCTGTATTGTTTTAGATAAACTAGGGGGAGGATTTTTGTCCTGCTGGGGAGATAACTTTTCACATTCTATCCTGGAGTTAGAACAGGGAATAGGAGAATATTTCCCATGTTTAGAGAATTATTACAGTTGCAGATGTCCCCATTGGAGGATTTTGCCCAGCTCTAGTTCAGATGACCACTCTAAAATTTTGCATTTCCCCATTTTCTGTTTCAGTCACAATTGTCTTCAAGGTAAATAGGGAACTGAATCTTCCCAGCAGGAATACAGACATCAATTAAACTTTACAAAGGGTCAAACTCTTTGTAAAACAAATACAAAAAATTCCCTTCACATACACTTTGACTGAATATACTTATCAAGAGTACAGTATCTTTTTACATTAGCGTTCCTCTTCAAAGATGACCAGAAGGACCAGAACTAAAGACTTTCGCCCAAATTATAATGATGTTAATCATCGTAAGTTTTCTGAGTAGCAGAGTTCAGAA